CTAGGTTTATAAGGTTGTGCAGTGTTTGCTCTGTGACTCTAGAGCAGATCGAATAGATAGCCCCGAGTTTATGAATTATAAACTTACACGCAGCTTTCTACTGAAAAAGAAAACAGGCCTCTTCACCCGATTTCCTCTCCAACACTGTGATCTTACAAAGACAGGGAGGAGGGGGAGAGCCTTGTGTGGTCAGCATGACTAGGGAGGTGGGATGGGGGCTCTGATGGGCATTGTCAGCTTCTCTGAAGGAATGAATTAAACATCCCTGGCATCAGAAGAATTCATTATTGCCCTCTATTCCTACACTCAGCATTTGAGGTTTTGAAATGGGATTTCCTCCTGCTTATCCCAGGGGTTCAAGAGAGGCGGAACAAATTCCTATTTAAGTACACATGCCGTTCCATGTTCAGTTGAGCTGACTGGGAACCTCTGCATCGTTTGCTTTCTGTAGAACTGTACATCTGGGACCAAAATCCAGTGGGGTCTTATCTTTGTTTCTGACTACCTCCTCTGCTTTGTTATCTAGAATAAATGAAATATATAGCTATGTTAATGGTATGACATTTAAGTCCAATGTAAGAACTTCGTTTGGCCTCTTCTGTTTTATATTTTTATGTCTTTATTTTATAGTGGGGGGGATGCAGATGCATCAGATGAGGTCAGAGGACAACCTGTGGGAGTTGGTCCTCTCTCCTTACTATGTGGGTTCCAGAGATCAAACTCGAGTCTTTACCTTCAGAGGCAACTACCTTTACCTCCTGATCCAGCTCAATAGCCCATTGTATCACTTAACATAGTGAAAGGGAAAAGGATTTTAAAATGTCTCTAATCCCCTTACCACATCCCAGCATCTCTGGAATCTTCTTATCTTTAGGCTTAAGAGCATTCTGTCTTAAATAGAAGAAGTCTTTGTTCTATGACTTCTACCTCATTCTGTAAGCATACACTAAGATTTATGAAAATACCCTCAGCCCACGTGTATTCATTGCTATCTGTTAGCCAAGCTTCGAGGGAAGTGCCAGCTGTTGACGGAGGGGTTAGAGGCAGAGCGTCCTTCATTTCTCTCCAGCTCCAACATCGATAGTCAATCTTGATTGTTATCTTTATTAGAAGGAGAGAAAACAAGGCGATTAGTCCCTCCCATCTCTCGAGTGAGTCTGTGAGAGCATGTTGAGAAAAGTCTAGATCACGGTGTCTCTGTCCTAACCAATGGCTCACTCATTACCAGATCTAAAACCATTGAGAAGTGGTGAAACTGTGGAAGACAAGTCCTGGTTGGAGGAGGTGGGTCACTGGGAGAATACTTTGGAATGGAGATATCTTGCCCTGACTTCTGCCTGTCTCTGCTATGCTCCCTGGCTTCTATAAACTAGGCAGTTCTGCTCCACTGTGCCTAGCTTCCGATGGGCTGCAGCCTCACCACAGTCTCACACGTGAGAATCTAGGCAGCTACAGATTAAAACCTCTAAGGACTGTGAGCCAAAACCCTAGGGGTAACCCTTGGGTGTCTCTCTGGTGTTTGTCACAATGAGGAAAGTCTGACTAACATTAGCACTGACTGAACAGCTAACTACTGAGCCTCTGTTTGCCCATTCAAATAAAAAAAAAAGTCTTCCTCCACAGGGATGGGTCAGGCAGCTTTGTTCTTGGAGTGACATACTGCTGGTGAACGGCAGTTGCCTTCCTGCTTTCTTTTTGTCCCAAGGACTATGCAACCATGAGGGACTGGTGTTTTAAAAATGAATCTTGCTATGATCTCTTTTGCGGGAAATTTTAAATCATGAAAGTGTGAAGTCACTGGAAGCACCTTGCTGGTGGGAATTGGAGCTAAAGAGACTCCGTAGTGGGAAGTTATCAAGCAGACCTTACAGAGTCTTTTTTGGTTTTTAAATAAACCGATGCAGAGAAAAGTAGTTTTTCCGCTGTTTCTGAGAAGCACCAGTGTGGACTTAGGTGGCCTCTTCTGGTTTGGTACTTTCAGGAACCTGAGGTGATCAAGTTTTGTGTTAGTTAGCTTTGCACTGCTGGGGAGAATCCCCAAGAGAAGGGAGGTTTATTTTGGCCATGGCTGTAGAGGTCCCAGTGGATGGCCATCAGTCCCATTCTCTTAGGCCCCCGTGTGCTAGTGCTGGAAGCAATGGTTGGAGTTACACAGTGGAGAAATTGCTCACAATCTGGCCAGTGTGAGAAAAAGCTGGAGACTGAGCCCTACCATCCCCCTCAGTAGTGTATTTCCTAGAAGCCTTCCACCAAGCCCACCACCTAGGCACCTCAGCACCTCCACAAAATGCCACCCCAGTGACCTCCACCCCTGGGCATTTAGGAAACACTTGATCCAGACTAGACCAGGGCATCCATGGTCTCCAGCACTCCTGCCCTCAAGTAGTTGTTTCTCTCCGTGAAGCACAGAACACTGGTGACGCTGTTTTCCACAGAAGCGCCATGGCTTAATTACCATTTATTTACCCAGCAGAGCTTGCATTTATGGCAACCTGGGATTTTCGCCAGACTTTGTTTACACATGTGCAGCATTTCAACGCCTTTGCTCAGAACCTCACACAGCTCTTGTGTTCTGTGTTCAAGGGTTGTTTTCTTTTATGTGTTTTCTTTTGCTGGGTTTTATCACCAGGCTGGTAATGACGGTGATCAATCATTAGAGGCAATGGCCCTTAAGCCACCCTTGTGCAAGAGGATTCTTATAAATAAACTGATTCTTTGTTTTCTAGTTGGTTTTCTTCTTCTTTTAATCCAAGCATCTGCGCCTTGGAAAAATTAAAATGCAATTATCGGAAGGCTTTTTGCTGGCTGCTGCTTATAGCAAGCGCTGCATTGCTATCCTGTTGGAGTGGGTAGTCCAGTCTGCCAGCTCAGAGTACAGAGGGATGCCGAGACCCAGGAAAGTATTTGTGTGGCATTTACTGTCTGCTGGTTCAGCAGCAGAGCCCACAGCAGGCATGCTCAGGACAGCAAGCTCAGCACATCTGGCCATATTGTGCCTCTCTTCACTCTCGCCACATGACTGCCTTAGAATGTATGCTTCTGATTGCTTATAATTGATGTACTGACCCAGAATGGCTGTAACCTTTGTTGGCAGCCACTACAGTGTGTGTCTTAGCTAGTGTGTGTGTGTGTGTGTGTGTGTGTGTGTCCCTCTTGCACACACCATCAGGACTGAGTAACAATATCTACTTACTAGTGAACTCTCAGCAGCAGCCCACAATACATTTTAAAACAGGAGCAGAGTAAAGTCCTCGAAGGCAACAGCCAGCCAGATCACATGCTTTCTGTATGTTCTCTTTCAACCCATTGTCTACAGTGCTAGATTGTTAAGTCCACATACATAGAATGCATTTTCAGACCAAAATAGCATTTATTTCTTTGCTGCTGCTACATTTGAATTCCGCAGCCTTGGCCAAACTAATTGCACATTTGCAGAGAAAAATAGGTCTATGGTACAGCACAGCTGTTCATCATGTGGGATGTGGACTGTGTCACCCACTGGTAGCCCCAGAACCGAGTCTCTGCAAAGCCTACATGTCAGCCCCTCTGAGCCTCATGGATGGGACTCAGAAGGAGGGAATGGCCTGTGTGTACCAGCTTGATAATGTTTTCCTTTACGTGCTGAGGACCAAACCCAAGCCCCCACTTTGCTCAGTAAGTGCTTTACCTCTAAGCTGTGCTGAAAACCCTCATTTTCTTTTTCATGGGGCCCTCGGGCATCATTTCCAGTCTTGCTCTGAAGGGGGAAGATAAGTATGACCGTGAATATCAAATGCACAGGAAGCACAGCGATATCCAGGGCTGGCTTCACGCTAAGGAGATGAGGTTATTTTACATAGGGAAGGGAGGTCATTTTTAATGAGATAGTTCCCCCTAGATGGACCTCTTTCATTCTCTGCCCACTCTGTCCCTCCTGAGTCGATTCAGGAAAATTCCTGAGGGGGTCCTGGGCTCTAGCACAGTGGAGCTTAGCAGGTGGACTGTAAGCATGGTAGCAGTGCACAGGCACTCCTTCCTAAAGTGATCACAGCATGTTGCTGAGCCTGAAAGGAAAGAGCCACAATGTTCTGCCTTCATCATTTTAGGCTACTGCTGCACAGCTCCGGTGTGACCCAATGTTACCTCACAAGATCTTCCTGAAGGGCAGCCTGCACTGGGGTGACCAGCCAATGATAGGGAAGGGCAGAGGGCAGGAGCCCAGAATCTAGCTGCCATAAATCCTGAGGTGACTGGATGGTACAGGGCGGACGTCCTGGGAACAGAGCAAGCAGAAGTACAGACAGACGCTGTGACCAGCCTGCTAAAGTGGGGTTTTCTTCCCCTGCTCCGTGGCTACACACAATAGTTTTGTTCTCCTTGGCCATCTATGTTGTTCACACACAGCCCTCACCAGTGAGCCTTCCTCTCAGGGAAACCCCAGGCTCTTCTCTGGCATTTGGCTTATTGACACACATTCCTGGCCCTCTGTATACTGCCTCTTGCACATACCTTTGCCATGTGCTCCCTTTGTCCCTGAGGGTCAGGATGGGGGTGGGGGTGGGGGTGGGTGCAAAAGTACAAAACATGAGAATGTCCTTCTGAGGGACATGTAAGCACCAGAGGGACACCTCCTTAAATTTTGCATACTGCTTACCTTGCTTTACTGGTCCCACTCTGAGCCCTGAATGCTAAACCAGGTGACCTGCTCTCCCTCCCTTTCCAAACTTGGTTTGGGTTGCCTCTATTCTCAGTGATAAGAATGGAATTAAATGGTTTGGAGAAGCCACGAAGCACACTACTGACTCACGGCAGGGGCTTACTAGATGTTTATGGTCACTGACATTATTACTGGATGAATACAAAGCATCCTGCATGAGCCAGTCTCAGGGGAGCTCCAGGCCTGCAGAACCAACCTGGTAGACAGCCATGTCCCCATTTGCCCCTTTCCAGATTGTGCGTGATTCCCTGGAGGTCAGGGCCTCCCCGTTCTGAAGAGGATGTATTTTGTGTCTCTGCTGCAGGAATTGCTTACTTAGGAGGCATGTGCAGCGCTGAGAGGAAATGTGTCCTTGCTGAAGACAATGGTCTCAATTTGGCCTTTACCATCGCACACGAGCTGGGCCACAAGTAAGTATCAGACTCCAATGTTCTGCCTTCCTTTCTTCTCTGAACATACTTCCCATATGATTTGTGCCTTTGCCGTTTCTGTAATAAAAAGGTCCACCCCACAGACAGACTCTTGAGTGTGGAAACATTAATCTCAAGTTTATTTATTCTCAAAGCCAGCAGTGAGATCTTCCTGGGTGTCTTAGTTAGTTGTACTACTTTTCCTAGCTCAGCACAGTCCTTTTATGCACTCTAAGGATATCATTCAGAACGGTTGGATTTCTCTTTGGACTATTTGTTTTCTGTTTTCTTTTCATTCACTCCAGAGCCCCACTTTCTGGATGTAGAACTCGGTGTCTCAGTTTAGAAAAATCAGCAGCAACTGCTTTTGCACATGCAAAGTCTCTCCTTTAAAATGAAGTGACTCAAAGCCCTAGAGCCCGAAGGTGCCTCCTCCTGGAGAATCTGAGGCAGCCTCCTCCATTTTCAGAGGAAACTGGGTGTTAGGGGGTTGTAATCACCTACAGGAAGTCTCAGGGGCAGATAGCCAGTCTATTCTACAAACGTGGCCTCAAAGTTTACCCTTTCTGCTAGAAAGGATGTCTGCTTTATGTTTCTCTGAAGGGAAAAACTGTGATATGACTGTATAAGAACTTTAAAAAAAATTAAATTGAGGAAACCTGAGCACAGAGAACAGTGGGAAAATTTATATTGGATTGTATAGAATATAAATGGAAATCGAGTTTGTTCTAGGGAAATGGCCATAAAGTTTCTCTAACGACCTCCACAGGAAGGGGTGGGGGTGGGCTTAACTGTTATGGCTAATTGTTGCAAAAATAAAGCCAGTGTGTACAAAGAATGGAAAATCGATTGTTTTCCTGAAGCCCTAGTGATATTTTGGGCCTTTCTTTCTCTTTTGTTCCATTTATCTGGTGCCATTTGTAAGAGGTTTGGCAGTTGGCTCCTCTGGACTTGGTGGATACCATGATGTGGGCACAAAGAAGAAGAACAGACAGAGAGGATGCTGTGTGTGTAGCACGAGGAACATGGCACTTATTGACCTGATGTAACCGAGCTAGCCAAGCTCGGCTCTGATGTACTCCCTTGCTTCGTGCTCATATTGCTCTCCAACTGTTAGTGACAACACTTGGCCAATGCTGGGTTGTTTTTTTCTTTTCTATTTTTTTTTCTTTTAGCTTTCATTGCATTTATAACACTGCTTTTTTAAACTAGTGGTTTAAACTCCATACCCAAGTGACTCACTAGGGGCAGGGGTGAGCATGGATCACCATGGCCTTGGCAGGCATTCTCTGACTATTAAAGAACCAGCCTAGCTCAGTGTCTGGCAGCGAGTCAGCTATGTAATAGCTGTAAGCATGCAGAACTTGCAGGAGCATCTGGGTTGTTTTAAATCTGTGAATAGTCAAGTCAAATAAGATTATCTGAAGGAGCCGGAGCTGGGCATGGCTTGGTGAGAGAAGAGCGCTTGCCACTCAAGGAAGATCCCAGGTAAAGCCAGATGAGGCAACATGTTTGTAATCCCAGCCCCTCTGGTGGTAAAATGGACAAGTGAAAACAGCAGAATCCCTGGAAGCTCACAGGCCAACTAGTCTAGTGTACACAGCAGTGAACAGGAGACCATAACCAACACTTGTGTGCATGCACACACACACACACACACACACATACACACACACACACGAGGCGTATTGGCTGGAAATGACCCTTCAGCTATAGTCTGTGTATAGTTTCTTGGAAAATTCTTTGTAGCCTACTACTAAACTCTAATTATCTCCCCCCCCCCAAAAAACACTATGGTGAATCAAAACCAATAAACTGCTAGGCAGTGATTAAAAGCAGTATTGTTCTTTACAGAGGATCTGGGTTCAATTCCTAGCACCCACATCTGCCTGCTCATAACCACTAGTATGGGAGATCTGATTTCCTCTGGCCTCTGCAGACACCTATAGGAATGTGATGAACAGAAACTCACACAGGCATACTTGCATACACATAAATAGAAAATGACAAAGAAGAAAGATGATTTGAGATACTGGTATGAATTACAGTGTCCTGTGGCAGCATCCAGCATCATGGTCTGTACAACCATACTGCTCACACACACATTGGGACACCCGTGCTGCATGAAGGTATTGCTTCTTGAATATGAAAACACAGAGGCCTTTTTTTCCTGATAACCTGTTGGGTCAAACACTGGCTGCTTAGCACAGGAGGTCTACAGATAGGAATGGCCAGATACAGGCACACTTCAGTACCCTTTAGCTAGATACTGTGTACAGTCTCTTGGAGAATTCTTTATAGCTTGCTACTAAACTCTAATTACCTACAAAAACAAACACTATTGTGAATGAAAGCCAATAAACCCTGCCAGCGTTTGGCCTCCTCCTAGTCTAGTGATTACAGTTTTCCCAAGGAAGTCTGTGTCTGAGTGGTGTCATTGTTGGGCAATAACACCCTCCTCACCTCAGCTCCCACCTGACAAGCCACACAATCCTTCTCTGAGGTCCACTCTGGTCACCATAGTCCAAATTAATGGGGGTTGGGGGTGGGCCATGTGGACTACTTAGAAAAGGGAAGGCCTACACTCTCAACAAAGCCAAAGACCAAACTGCTTCAGAGCTGCAAAACTCCAACAACATGGATGATGTTCTGGGATAGAGCAGGCAGTCCAGCTCTGTCCTCTTACTTACGAGAGGGTCACTAGGGCACAGATTCGCTAGTCCCTACTGACACAGTTCTGATGAGGGGAGGCTTCCAGTGGAGTCTTTATGCCTGGGTCTCTGTGGCTCTCCCATTCCTTACCAGCATGCCTCCTGTCAGAACCCCTGTGAGCAGCTGCCCTCTGATCACACTGCAACAGAGTATCCACCTCCTATATGAGCCACACACTCACATTCCTTAAACAATGAACCAGCTGACTTCATGCTTTTACTTCCGATTTGATTTTAAGAAAAGAAAAAGCTCAGTGGGGCAGAGTTGGGGGCAGCGGGTCTCTTTTCAGCATCTAAGAACCGTGCTTCCTCCTTATTCTTTCTCAGGGGTCTCTTTGTATATAGGAATAGTTTTATCTTCTTTAAAAAAGTATTTTATGTATATAAGTGTTTTGCCCCCCCCCGTGTGTGTGTGTGTGTGTGTGTGTACACCCATATGCTTGATTCACTTGAATCTAAGGAGGTCAGAAGAGGGTGTCAGATCCCCTGGAACTGGAATTGCAGACAGTCGTGAGCTGCCAGGTAGGTGGTGGGACTTGAACCTGGGTCTTCTAGAGGAACAGCGGCTGTTTTTAATCACTGAGCCACCTCTCCCACCCTGCAGAAATTTACCTTAGCTAATCAAAAGTTGATTCATCTGATACCGTAAAAGGCTCGAACTTAATTTACAATCACACGTGTCCTCAGTTGTAAATTAGATAGACAATGCTTGCGTTGGCAATGTCAACAATTCACAAAGGATGCAAATTGGTAACATAATAACGACGCTTAGGCCAAATCAGAACTCATTTACTGGCCGTGTACTTAGACGTTTCACATCCATTAAGTAAGTAAGTCTAGAGAGGTAGATGTTGTTTAGCTATTACTTTAGCACCAGTGTTGGGAAAGTAGCACTCAACTTTTTGTTGTCTAAGGATTTCATACATGTACATAGTGTGTTAAAATCTACCCCCGTTAATTTCTTCTCTGTGTGCCCCACCATTATCACACCCCAATCCCCCCTCTCTCATCCCCCTTTCTCTCACCTCTCTTAAACCCATTGCATCTGCTTCACGCTGCCTGTATGTGTATGAACACAGGCTAATCAACGGGTGGTGGGCCCCTTAGGAGCCACATCCCTGAAGAAAACTGACTTTTTCCCAGTAGCCATCAACTAGGGCCGGGGCTTTGTGGCCATCTCCCTCATCCATGCTGAGACTTTGTCTGGTTTGATCTTGTGCAGGTCTAAAACTGACAGGGCCAGCTCCTGTGGGTTCATGTGTGCACGATTGCCCTGCTGTATCTAGAAAATAACTGTTTTGCCGTCAGCCACTGCTTCTGACTTACAGTCTTTCCAATCCCTTTTCTGTGATGAGCCCTGCGTCTCGGGAGAAGAGGGTGCAGTGTAGATTGTCCTGTTTGTGGCTGGGTACCTTGTGTTCGCGTTTTCTCTAAAAGTTGACCAGTTGTGAGTCTTCACGTTAAACATCATCTACTACAAAAAAGAAGCGCCTCTGAAGAGGATTGAGAGCTGCTGTATCTATGAGTATAAAGATAAGTACTTAGTAGGCACTTTAACACCATGTCCACTTAATAGAATAATAGTCGTGGGTCCTCCCAGAGGACATAAGACCTATCCAGCCATGGGCTCTTGGCCCCACTAACCATGCCAGTTGTGACTTCAGCCTTGAGGAGTAGGCTCTGAGTTTAATCAGAAGATGACTGATTACTCTTATGACATTTGTAGCACTGTTTTTTTGTTTTAATGTATGGTCTCAGGATGGAGAGATGCCTCAGCGATTAAGAGCACTTGTTCAGTTCCCAGCACCCATGTCAGGCAGCTCACAACTGCCTGTAACACCAGCTCCAGGGGATGCAATACTTTCTTCTGACTTCCTCAGATTTCTGTAACCATAACATTTGCATGTACATGTGTGTGCATCTCCTCTCTCTCTCTCTCTCTCTCTCTCTCTCTCTCTCTCTCCCTCTCTCTCTTTCTCTCTCTCTCTCTTTCTTTCTCTCTCTTTCTTTCTCTCTCTGCGTGTTGTGTGTGTGTGCATGTGTGTGTGTGTAGATATGTCAGAGTTGAAGTTGTAGGGACTCTATGACTCTTTCATGACTCTATGAAAATTGGTGTGGCCCTCTTATGTTTTGAGAGGTCATGTCAAATGTGGCAGTAGGCCTAGAAGAGACTCGTGGTTGGTGAGAGCTTGTGTCTGGTGCAGGGTGAGGCTGGAAATACACCAGAGAGAGTTGATATTCTAGGTTCAGGGAAACCCAGAACCTGTGCGTGCAGCATGCATACATGTA